AAATAATTGCTTTGACAATTTATTAAAAAAATAGTTTACGAAGAAGGCACAACCCGACTCAGCCAATTTTCGGACACAAATCGATACAAAATCTCGTCCCGTGCGAAACTGGCAATTGTCAAGGTGACATTAACCATTGGCAAACTGAAGTTTATGCCCCCGTATTTATTAAAATCTATTATGAAGACTATTCGCTTGCTCGTAGACATAACAAGGACGGGCGCAATAAACTCTTGAAACGTTATTAAAACACCTCGGAATAAAACTATCGTATAAATATCGATACAACGTCATTCTAGGGACTTCGGTCCGTGGGTGGCACGTGGGTAGTTTTGAACTAACATTTCTCCTGTGGCAATCATTTAAACAACGATTATGAAGCCTCATGTTTACATTGAAATATGTTTCAACTGTTCGTACATAAATACAATATTAGATGCGATAAAGTATAAGGATTAACTTTATTTAACAATGGGTACTTAGCGATAATTAAGACCGTTTTTAACATGAGACTGTTCAATCAGTAAAATATTTTGTAATTGTATTACATAAAAAAGGTTATTATACATATATAAATACAAAAGTAATATCCAAGTGCATAGTTTGCGTAAATCAAAATATTTTAAATGGAATTTCCTTCGTTCGTTGGCTAATATGGAAAAGAAAGTGGATGATAATTTGAATATATTTTATTTCAAATTGTTGCCTATCTCTACATAAGGTGACAAGAAGTTAATAATTTTATTATATGTATGAATTAATAAATGTAGCTACCTAGAAGTAATGAAGGAGTTAATAAACACATTGCTTAAAAGGTTGTTTTAGTTATTAAATATGAATTGATTTCATATAATTTTGGGGTAGAGACGCTAAGAAATAAGTATCTCTTTAAAAGAATACTATAATGAAATCGACGACAAGCGACGTCATTTTTTTTAGTGGCGTAAAAAATTATTGGCTTTCCACCGATAGTGCCATTATGAAGTTACAAAATTCGTTTGTAGCGTAAGACTTTTAATCAACTACAATAAATATTTTATTGCAATTATGTGTCGCTGAATTCCATACACAGGTTTTCTTAGCAAGGTAACCAATCGTGATCTTCATCTTTATTAAGCCTTATAATTTAAAAGTTTATTATTAATTAAAAGAGTAAGATTTAAAAAGAAAATTTTTAAATCTTACTCTTAAATGGAATCAAGGAAATACAATATGCTAAAATAGTTTTCGTCCGTGTTGTAAAACATAGGTATTTATAATATAATTAAAATAATATATCGCACGTTGTATAGGATGTTACAAATTTTGTTTCTTTTTTACTTAATTAGTTTGTTTGAAAAATATATTTTTTTAATTATGGATATTGTTTAACGTTAATATTTTTTTATGATTATTGGCACGTAGCGTTAGACGTGTGTTAATTTATTGTCGCGATGGTAAAGAAACGCTGTATATCTATATTATGAAGCTTTGTATATAATTCTTTAAACATTATTTAAGGAAAACGATAATTCTATATGATATTATAGAAATTACGTATTAATGCTGATGATAGTAGTTTTGATTGTCTGATTTATTTAAATACATACGCCATTTAAAGTTACCTCTTACAGAGTAGAGTTTGTCGGTGATAAACGCAACTAAGAGTTCCTTTGTTCTGTCATACACCATTATAGGGCAAGTTAAAGGTTTTTTTTGACTAAAAGGAGGCTTTATGAAGTATTTTTAGTAAGAATAAACCGCTAAATGATTTTTTTTCACAACTAAAAAGTCAAAGCGCTTCTCATGAATATAGTTAATGCATTAGTTGGAAACGGGAAATTAAAACAATTATTTTACATCTCCTTCATTTTCCTCATTGGAATTTAAGTTATTAATAACAATAATTCACGCCCCATCAACATTATCGTTCAAATAAGTAAATAACAACGATATATAAACAAGTCAACAAACTCTATGACTCTCCGACATTATGATGTATTAGTCGCAATAAATAATGTTTGAAAACAGTTACCCATTTAGAGTAGATAAACGCTTATGAATAATGGAGATAATGTTATGTACTAACAAAGTAAATGATCTAAACCAATGATGTAAAAAGAGTGCCGATGTTGTGAAATTCTGTTTATGTAGTTGTTTTTTATGTTCAGTGACAAACGAGCTGGTGGTTCACCTGATGTTAATGGATAACCGCTGCACATAGACATTTGCAATAATAAACAATAAAGTGGGCCCCGGCTACCTCACTCACCGGACGAAACGCAGAAGTGTAACACTTCTACATACCGCCGGTCTTCCGTGAGGTCGTGGTACCAACCCGGACGGACCTGCCCATTCGTGCAACGGCGAACACCGTTGCGCGGCCCTACCACTACGAGTGATCTTAGCAACTGCTGTACCTGTTTAAAAAATCCTGCAACCATTCAAAGGTACATTATTCCACAACGAAATATGCTACACATTGTGCATGTATACATAATGTTAACACACATTACGTGCATTGAGATACGCCTGTATAGTCGGCAACAGTGAGCTGGAGATGATGATGCAACCTATATTCCGTACATGACAACCCTTGACGGTTGTGTTTTTTTAAATTTGAAAAGTTGCCAAGCGAGCAGGCCTCGCATGGACATCTGCTACACCCGAGGGTTGAAGATGCGTTGACAACCTTTTGAAAATTGGGCTCCGGCCACCACACTCACCAGACGAAACGCGAAAGTATTATACTTCCACTTCACGCCGGTCCTCTGTGAGGTCGTGGTACTTACCCGGACAAGCCTGCCCGTTTGTGCAACAGCCGTGGCTGCTGCGTGGCCCTACCATATGTAAGTGTAACAAAATATGACGTAGCAATTTGACGTCGCCTTTTGATACTTCACGAAATGCGTAATCTGACAAAAAATGTATTCAAACCCATCGCCGAGAAAGAGTAAGCTGAAACTAAGAAACATCTTTTATCTCTGTTACTCGTAAGTTTTACAAGAAAAATAACGCCTTGTGGATCTATAAGAAAATCAAAGCGTCGATGACTGCTACAACCTTACGGAAGAAAATATGTTGTATAACAAATGAATAAATAAGTTAACTAAAAACCTATAAATTGAAGTAATAGTTGAAAAACGCCTGGAATGCTGGCGGATTTTCTTTCTTCGGAGGCCTGCTATGATTCGTCTAAAAGCTCTGGTAATTGCGAATCATTAATATGTATAGTTATATCTTTAAAGTAAACTTTAAATAAGAAATAACAAAAGCAACTTCAAACATCTCACTCGCAATTTATACATTTTTAACAGATTTCAAAAATTAAGGATTACGAAAAGCTCTCGTCTCGGTTGTATGTTTTTTTTTTACGTTTGTTAACTTAAAACTCGTGGCATTAATGAACAAATTTCATTTTAAGCAGTTTCGTGATGTATCTTTAGATTCCAAGGACCAATACCAATGAAATTATTATGGGACCACATAGGAGCAATACCACCGGGTCCCGTACTATCTATAAGAACTGCATAAAATCGTGTATGTTGCTTGGGAGCCCGCCCCACTTAAATATTTTTTTATTGTTTTTTTAGAAATATTTTTTTATTCAGTTTTTTTAGTATTTGTTGTAATAGCAGCAACAGAAATACATCATCTGTGAAAACTTCAACTGTCTAACTATCACGGTTCATGAGATAACTATCACGGGCCTGGTGACAGAATGACAGACAGGCAGACAGACAGACAGCGGCATCTTAGTAATAGGGTACGAAACGATACCCTTTGGGTACGAAACCCTAAAAAATACAACCGAATTCGGAACCTAGTCTTTTTTAGAAATCGGTTAAAAAAACTCGTTCACACCTCATTTCTCATTTACACAAATCAATTAATCTGAACAAAAACTGACTGATTAAATGAAAGTTATCGATTTTCATTTGTCATATGTCGGATTCGGCTCCCATCCAAACAATCTCAAGTTTTTTTTCGTGTTAGGCCGCGGGGCCTGCAGGCAAAAAGATAAACAAAATCGTCAATACACACACAAATACAAAACCCCTCAACATGCCAAATCCTTTGTTTTCTAAGTGACACAGATAAAAAAAGAATGGAGACAGAAAAAACCAATCGCTATTTCTACTAAAAAAATGTAAAGCGAAAATCTACTTTATGCCATTAAAAAATATTGGAATTGGAGAAGGAAAGAACAACGAAATGAACTAAAAAATATACACATGAAAAGCAAATTCATTTGCAAAAGGTGTGCACTTGTAAAATGGTAATCGAATTGTCCTTCAAATTTTAACTGTTTCTTAATTTTATTAAATTTACTGCTTTTATTTACAGCAAAAGTATTGTGTGTCAATAATTTACAATTCATTTCAATATTTATAAAATGTTTGGAACAAATTGCGCGCCGCGAAATTTCTCAGTAGCCGTCGGACGCAAGCAAGGTCGAAAACGTGAGGCCGAATTAGAAATCTTAGGAAAACCGTTCACCAAATGACTCAACCTTTTGCCACGAACTTAAAAACATTGACATCGCAACAGGTATAACTTTATTCCAATTATGGAGATATTAAAACATCTGCGCCAAACAGTAACTTCGCGGAGTCTCTCGCTTGACAACAGTTCTGGGAAGATAAAGCCGTTGCTTGCGAAAGATCGTTAGGATTTGAAATTTAAATTAGTGGCAAAAAATAAGGCGGATTCGTTTTTTCAATGCGCGCTTCAAAAATGGCGTCCATTACGCCACTTTCGAAGAGCTCAATTATAAAATTCATTGTGCGTCGCAACGAGAGCGGTTTCGAAAGTAAATAAATCGCTTATGGCCAAAACACTACCAATGTTACTCGATCCTGTTTCGCTGCGAAATCCAACCCGGTGTATTATTGCGTTCACTTGGACAATAAGTCGCGCGCCTGTGACTCAGCCAGGCGAGACTAGCGCTTTTACGCCGTTCTGCATATCTGCGCTTGTACGATGTGTTTCGGGTCCAACTTATCTCTCGACGCGGACTAAGTGTGTCGATAAGCGCCGCGCGTGCCCGCCGCTGTTGGGGCTCGCTCGAAAGTGAAAACGCGGATCGAGTGCCCGTGGTAGCGCCGGTGAAAAAATAACGCCGCCGACGTCACCGCCGCTGGCGGAACGGAACGTGTGTCGCGGGCGGAACACTCGTCTCGGCCACCGTCCTCGTGCTCTCGAAGGCTTCGTTCTCGGACAGTTTGCAGCAGAGGTCGTTTCGAGCAGCGAGACGCGGATTTCGCGAAAGGAATCCGCGCCGTCCACGCCACGGCGCCGACCGAAAAATACACGAGAACCAGTTTTAGCCGCCTCCGTCCAGATCGCCGTTTGGGGGTTCGATGACCAACGCGAGAGCGCGGTATTCCGCCGGGGGTGGCGCGCACAGCGGTCGTCAACCGTGCGCCGTGACTCACCGTCGCTCGCCCACGCTGATATCTTCTCGCCCCTGGCGCCTTAGTTGTCTCCACGTGCTGCCGCCACGTGCCCGTCGAGAGCCGCCGACACGGTAAGTGTACTCCAACAAGCGCCTGGAACGTTCATCACCAGAGCACCTGATGAAGTACAATGGGCGTGCGGCGGCCGAGTTTTCGGCTCATGTTTCTCACTGCCCGCTGCGTCGGCGTCGGCGTCGCGCGCTACTTCAGGTACCTGACTCGTTGGCGACAGCCCCGGCGCCGGAGTAGCGCGCGCCGCCGCCGCCCGCTCGCCGACCGGTGGCTCCGCGGAGACGTGCACCTCGCTCGAGGGCCGCGCGCCGACTGCACCTCGGAGCACGAGCCGCGGCCCCCGCGCGTCGCCAGACGTCAGCTGACCGCTGCACCGGCCCTGACATTGGCGCGCCCGCTCGCCGCCGCGCGGGGGACGAGGTCGCTGACCCCGCCCGCGGAAGCCTCCTCGCGAATCTGTCGCCCTCCCCTCCTCCCTGTCTCCTCCCCCCCCCAGCCCTGGGCCCCTCGGCGACCTCCCCCGCGACGGAGCGCCGCGTCTATGACATTCACCAAGTTTGGACATTGAATGATTCGCAAAGAACTCGCGATCGCGTTCAAAGCGAAACGCTAAGTTTCCATACAGCAGAGGGAGCCGACATCTCATTATGAGCTTTTGTATCTTTTGATAAGGGCCAGGGATGGATATATTATAAAACTCCAAACAGTTGCGAAAGAAAGATCCGATGTGTTAAATATTTAGCTTCTCCGATCACTGATCGCGGTGGCAAAGTTCGCTCGCGAAATTCCAATCTAGATTCATGACTTATTAGCCGACGGCCGAAAACTGCTCCGAAACGAGCATCGGAGTTCCATTTTTAATCGTCCCACAGAGTAACGAGGTTAAGCACCCGGCGTACAGTCGCGAGCGCAAGTTCGCCCCGCTGATTCAGTAGTGATGTCAGCGCATGTCTCACCTATCTCATTATTGCTCTAAAGAATCATACAACGCTCGTTTCCGGAGATAACAATTATCAAATTGCTCATCACCAGATAGTAGAGCTAAATGTTAAAATGATGCGATACGATACCGTCAAACTCTGACAGAGCTTTGCTGATCTCTCTATACAAGAATGGAATAATGGTAACTTTGTAAATAAACTCTATCCTTCATCGAAGACTTTTTCCTAACACATTTACGCTTTGTTCTCTTTCTAAAACCAATACAAAGTCATTTAGAAGCACCTAGAAACATATTACAGGTAATGGTATTAAAACAAAATTTTAAGTTTTGTAATTTCATATAAAGCATATTCTTTATTTAGTTACAGGTAATAGAAATCAAATGAAAACTAACGTAAATTCGATGTAGAGTCATGGTCAAAAACATAAATAATCGTCCCATGAAGGATTTGTTTGCAAAGAAGTAATTTAAAAGTAACGTATGCTCTTTTTATCATGTAAATATTATTTATATATCAAATATTATAAATCGTCGTAATACTGAAAATCTCATAAAAGACATTAAGATATAGAGCTGTGCCTGGTCAATCGCTCTTCACTTAATGTACTCGAGCAACCTAAGATCCCGGTGCCACCACCAATGAAATTGACAATTTCAATTTTAAGTGCTAACTTATCACATGTATGTATGTGTTCCATGAAGTAATAAAATAATTGACTATCATACGGAATAATAATGGTAGAGAACTTACAATGGTAAAATTACTAACTACAGCAGCAAGAACTACTAACTTGCTTGCTCCAACTTTATTCAATTTAATTTATAGTGTTGATTAAACACTGTTTTGCCAGTAGCTAAAAGCTAACCAGAGAGCTCTATGTTCATCACACAATGTTTTCCAGTAGCTAAAAGCTAACCAGAGAGGACTATGTTCATCACACAATGTTTTTCCAGTAGTTCTAAGCTAACCAGAGAGGACTATCTTCATCACACAATGTTTTTCCAGTAGTTCTAAGGTAATAGGTCTTTTAGTTTTTTATCCGACTTGATCCAAGAATACTAAGATTTCTAATAAAAGAAAAATTTGAAAAGTACCTGTTTCAATATCAGCACAGATAACGTATTACTAACGGCCTATAAAAACAAATTCTATAGTCACATACGAATCACTAGAAATGATTTTACAATAAGTTTTCCTTATTTTTTTTTAAATCGGCCGTTCTGCCTCACCGTAATACTTTACTCATTTTCCTAGAACATTTTTTTTCTCATTATTCCCTCAATCTCAATACGACTGCGTAACATGACTTTTTTGCCACACCTTAGAATTGACATTAACTGACTCGATTTATGTAGTGGATAGTGAACCTTGTGATATATTGGATAGTGAATTAATGGACCTCTTGCGCCAGAGAGTGTGGGTTCGATTGCTACTACTGGACAAATATTGTGTGATGAGCATTTTTTTTTTCTAGTGTCTGGGTGTTTGTTTATATATTATAAGACATATTTATTTAGAAAAGTACCTAGAACCCATAGTGCGTGCGCCTTTTTGTAATTTGGGACGGGATAACGCTGTGTTGAAATATGTTCTACAATATTAATTTATATTTGTAAAATGAGTTATTGAATCTGATATGAAATGTAAGAAACAAAAAAATTAAATGATTCCATAACAATAATAGGATACACCACAAAAATTCTTATAATCAAGGATAATAAAATAGTCAAAGTCATTCAGTGTCATAAGTAAATAATGTTCGTTTCCGCAAATGTATAAAAAAGAAACAAAAACAAAAAAGAACTCACTTTACTTTATCCACATCGTTATGCATAATTTTTAGCTATATCAATAATAAAAAAAAAAAAAAAAACAATAAACGAATAAAAATATACTGTTATTAGATAAATTGCTGAAAAAAACAGTTTTTTGGAGAGGTAAATTTTTCAGTGCTATTGCATTCAAACTTGCGTTGTATGTCGAACGTCGCACTAGGTGACACCAAGAGTTGTTATTTAAAATTGATATTAATTTATCGATTCAATTCGCATTTAAATTTTATCTTGATCACAGATTAGCACTAAAAACATTATCCTAAAAATGAAGTTACAGACAACAAAGTTTCCTTATATCGATTAAAAACAAAATAAAACAGAAACGGATAGTAGAGTAATAATGAAGTGTTATAAAATGACAAGAAAACGATTAACGGCAATTTTAATTCAGTCCTATTAATAATATAAAAGAGAACACCTAACCAACATATAATCTTAGTCATAATCAAGTTTCCTAAAATGTTTATCTTTACCTTCGTTTTAATAAAAGATAATCTCATTTGGATACGGCTTTGTCCTAATTGCATTATGTTGTACATATTGCACGAGAGTTCTGATCGGATTTTGTTAAATTTCAGCGAGTTTTTGAGACAAAAACACAGGTATAAATAATTTCTTCATATTTGGCAAATATGTGTTTACGAAAGAGTTTTTAGATTAATCCCTATCGGAATTAATACATATAAAACCTTTTTTAAGATTAGAAAAAAAAACTTTAATAGTCCGTATGAAGAGACCCTAAAAATATAGAGCTAACTGATTTCGAATTTCCTACACATATATTTCAGGATGTTAATTATTGAGTGAATATCTATCATTTTCTTTTATATTTCGTCTATAGTTCGCTCACACATTAGCTACTAATGTTAGCACATGCTATTGTTAAAAAAATCTATTCCAAATCGGTTCCCAGCTTTAATTTCATCAACGTCAATTTGACACTTTTCCCCTAATCTATCGCGTTATGTTACATATCAGTGATCCCTGCCTTCAGAGAGCCAACTCGACTCTACCGAGCGCGATTGCTGCGTTACGAGGAAACACACCATTACGTTTCTAACGGCCCAAGTGCGTCGAATTTAATGAGCCCGTCACACTAATAACAGAATATGTAGGATGCGCCGCAAAGAGCGGCCGGTGAAAAAAGGGGATTTCTTTACGCGGATGTTTCCGGTCGATCGCGAACGCTCTCCATCCATACGATATGGGCACGCGCCGCGCACGGAACCATCGCGGTATTGAGCTCGACGTTTTTACGCCAGTGCACTGACTGCCTTAATTATTCGCAAGGAAACGCGAGGAAATCGTAGCGAGCACTCGAAGTATCAACGGAGAACGTAGTGTCCGACTCTACGCTACGCGGCATGCTTTTCTAACTATGATAAAAACTGTTTAACCATAAACAATGAGGAAGAGAGCGTATCTTTAAAACAAGTCCCTTTTGCTGCATATTATTTATTAAGTAGCGAAATAAATTAATAACGTTTATGGGTAAACAAATGAAAAATAGAAAAATTTTGTGAAGGAATGTAAGAAATTTCTTATTGAATATTAATTAATTAAAAGACAAATATGTTACATTAACTTAAGCAGTGCTTTGAAGCGTATTCCGTACTTGTATACTACATTAATATACCTATTCGTAAACATACGCCTGTAAACATGCTTTGTATAGTGTAGTAACAGTGTCGTGACCGTCAATACGCCCCCTTTTTTGGTCCAAGTTTTATTCGCCAATCGTGCACGGTGTAAAGTGCGTTAAAGAACTTCGTTCCGAAATTTAATAAGTTTAATATGATATTAATAAGCATTGTGATGAAGTTAAAAAACTATTTATATTTTCAATTTAATCCAACTTGTAACTTAAAATGGGGATTTGGCGAAAAATGGGGTCTTATATAAGACTTAATTTCAATTCTGTGTTTGCGAGTCTTGAATTGGTATTTTTTTTTAACTTGTCAGTGCATCACCATCACACTTTATCACACTTTCATCACGTATTTATTGATTCGTGCGTCATTTTACTAATAAACTAGGTATATACTAGGTATTTTTGGTGAACATATTGTATATATATGAGATTTTCTACTTATAAGGATTGGAATCTAAAAGAGAGAGACCTTTTTACTGTATAAATAAAAAAAAACTACAAGTCATGTAAATTTATCAAAATGCCAATTCCTGTCAAATGATATCTCTCAAGACATGAAGATAAAAAATTACTCATTAAATTAAATTATCTCTATGTTATTTATTATTATTACTCTTTTGCAATACTCTTACCAATTAATTGCAATCAACGCAAACCGAATTTGAAATTAAACAAATATAATAAAGTGGACAGTACTTACAACTTTACCTGCCTTTTTTAAGAGAAATGTTTACAATTCACGGGATGAATAATAATAACCATATAATTACCGTTATTCTGTGTATAATTTATCTATTTCTCACTAAGCTAAGTCTTTAAAGCCTTTGCTTGATGAAACATGAACAGAAACCAAACTGCCGCACTCACACACTGCAATTAGAACTTAATTAATATGAAACAGTTCCTATTTTATAAGTTCCTTTAACGTCCTAGTGATATAGCGGATAATTAATCTTTTTTGTATGATAGCAACGTATCATACACATAAGAATAACTGATCTGGGACAAATACGAGAAGACGGCTCAATTTTTCAGTGAGGTTAATCGTAAGATAGATAAAAAGAAACATAATTACATGCACAAATATAAAACTTATTTATTTTAGTCCGCAACTAAACTCTTGAGGTTCAGAGGA